AAAAACTTATCGGCCGATGCCGATATTTGAAAAATGCCAAATATCGGCCGATATATCGGTCGACCACTAACACACACACACACTCACACACACTCACACACACTTAATGCAAATGCAATATTCAACTTTTGCAGCACGATTTGGGGAGGCAGGGAGTAAAAATTGCAGTTTTTCAAAAAAAGAAGAAAAAAAAAGACAATAAAAAAAAAAGCTGTGCTTGTTTGTAGGGCTGCACAATTTGGCCAAAATATTGTCATTATGTATCAATATTAATATATTATATATAATTTAACATAATATTAATATCAATAATATGACTAATAATAATAATAATAAATTAGTATTATTTTTATTACTATTGGTAGCAAAATATAAAAAAATACTAAATAAAAATAAAATGAGAAATATTACTATTGTAATATTTCACGATAAAATTGAAAAAAATAATATTTATAATTTAATTTTACATTTTATTTTCAAACACTGAACCATCAAACTGTTATTTTGACAAAAAAAACTGCAGGTAGCCTAAAGCTTCTCTTGTTGATAAAAACGTATTCCAAGTATGGGAAGATAATTAGATTCCTACATTCATGTTAAAATGACCCAAACTGAGAGCAGATGTTTTACTATGAACCGAGCCGCTCACGTGTAACAACACTCTGAAACGCTGCACTTATGTTTATTTGATCACAATTGCAGCTTTTGCACAAAGACTGGCATATTGCAATTTTGGTTTTATTTCGATTGTTCGATTTTCGCCCTAAATATGAGCTGCTTGCCTCAGATCAGCTTCACATTCAACAGCTGCTTTCTTCTAAGAGTTCTTGTGAATCTGTCCTTAAACAGTTCAAATGTTGACCGTTCTGACATTAGGCTGCTTTCAAGAAGTCTGCTTTTTCCTCCTCCGTCTGTAGTCGAGGGGGAAGGGAGCATTTTGTTTGTAGGAGAAACTTCAGCAATCACCTGCTTGCTTGAGCAATACAGCGATACTTTATTTTCTCCAAGTATATAATGTTGATTTCCCACACATCTCAAATCAAGGGTCCTGTATTGATCAGTGTGACTCAATCCAGTGTTTTATAGAGCGTGTGCCGCAGGCTATTAGTGATGTTTATAGTACTTATTACAATGCATTCTCTCAGAGAAACACTAGGTCAGGATTTTGAACTCTCAATGACTCTCTGAAACCTGGATCACAAAAGTGACAATGCACACGCGCAGCTTTTGTGTTCATGTGGTGTTTTGTTCTGAATGACGTAAATCGGTGGCTTTATTATTTAAAGCTGACTGATGCATACTGACTGGAAATGCAGAAGCAGAATTAAGACTAAAATAAGCTCATGATGTGGACGTCATACCAGCCTCTGTTCCTGGAGCTCAACATGCCACGAACAAATCAAGGTCATGGGTTTGATTCTCAGGAACACACATACTGGCAAAATGCATAACTCGAATGCACTGTAATTCACTGTGGATAAAAATGATGCATTCAGATGCATTCATGCTGGTGTGATTTTCAGGGGGATTTTCCAGCCTCACTTCTGCTCAGATCTGGCATGCATTTCCCATTTCTGACAGTAGACGCTGATGTCAATTTTCCAACCGACATACTAAAGCATGCATTACAGATTCTTCCAAGTGGAATGATATTATTTTATAATTTTAGGTCTAATGTTCATAAAGCATGAGATGAGATTATCTGTATTTGGAGCAATATTGTCATCTACTCCCATCACTCTTTCATGACACCAAAACAGATTTACATTTTAGCGTTTGTTATAGGTTTTATTTTCAGCGTTACAAGCAACCTAGTAAAACTTGCACAACACTACAAATAAGATACTACAAACTGATCGGGAAAGAAGGTGATCAAAATGTTTGAAATCGTGTGTTCAAATATGTCCAAAATGCTTAAAACCTCATGGGGCCTGTAATTTATATAAATACATTTGTAGTCAATAAGTAAAATAAATAAATAAATAAATATTTCAGTTAATTCAGTTATTTTCTGTATTTTTACTTTTCATTTAATATGAATTACATTGTATTTCTAAATATGTACATTAAAATTTCAGTGATGACTATTCAATATCCCTGTTTTTGTGTGTGTGTGTTTATTTTTTCATGAATCACACCCTGCATACATCCAAACAGTTTCTGCAATCAAGCACTGTTCATCAAAAAGGAATCCAAAATTGCACCATTGTGTTTTAAACACTGTTATTTCTGCTCAAGACCAGGAGATTAAATAAATAAATAAAGAAATGGCATTTAAAATGTATTAAATAAATAACATAAATAAATAAATGGCATTTAAAATGTATTAAATAAATAGCATAAATAAATAAATGGCATTTAAAATTAAATAATGAAAGAAATAAATAAATGGCATTTAAAATTAATTAAATAAATAAATAAATAATAAATGGCATTTAAAATGTATTAAATAAATAACATAAATAAATGGCATTTAAAATTAATTAAATAAATAACAAATAAATAAATAGCATTTGAAATTAATTAAATAAATAAATAAATGGCATTTAAAATGTATGAAATAAATAACATAAATAATAAATAAATAACAAATAAATAATAAATGGCATTTAAAATGTATTAAATAAATAACATAAATAAATAAATGGCATTTAAAATGTATTAAATAAATAACCAATAAATAAATGGCATTTAAAATTAATTAAATAACAAATAAATAAATGGCATTTAACATTAATTAAATAAATAACATAAATAAATGGCATTTAAAATTAATTAAACAAATAACAAATAAATAAATAGCATTTGAAATTAATTAAATAAATAAATAAATGGCATTTAAAATTTATTAAATAAATAACATAAATAAATAAATGGCATTTAAAATGTATTAAATAAATAGCATAAATAAATAAATAAATGGCATTTAAAATGTATTAAATAAATAACATAAATAAATAAATGGCATTTAAAATGTATTAAATAAATAACATAAATAAATAAATGGCATTTAAAATGTATTAAATAAATAACATAAATAAATAAATGGCATTTAAAATTAAATAATGAAAGAAATAAATAAATGGCATTTAAAATTAATTAAATAAA